CCCCTATATAATTTTAAATCTTAATTCCATTTTTCCATGTCCATATCATTATCAGCTCACTGTGTAAATACCTTAGCTGTGATAGGGTGCATCATGACATCCACGTTAGTGTTGTATCTCTTAATCTTTTTTGTGCCCCTCACCAGGCCTCTAAATCTTTTCCTCTAAAGTATTATCTTATTCCCTTTGTACAGCCTTTCAAAAATTGTAAATTTACATTTTTGCTTCCCAGAACAAGTAATACCACAACACAAACATAAAATACTCATTTTCAAAATACTCATAAATGTTAAATATGCATCTAATAATATCTTTTTATTTATATATAGATATAGACAAATAATAAATACAGAAATCTGCTAAAGAGAAACAAAATATGATTGGGAATCTAGTAAAATATCTTTTAATATGTACCTGTGATATATGTGATATTTAGCTTCTGATATTTCAGTGTTTGTATTCTGAACATTAAGAAATGAGAGAAAGGCACAGAAATGATCAAATGATATAAATATATAGTCCACTGCTGGAGAAACAAATTCCAATTTATCAAGCTACAAGTTAAACTTTAATTAAAATTAATTAAATGTGTTATCTTACTTTGAAAAATATTTGACATGTTGATCAGATTTAATTGTTTTAAATATCAGCTGAAACTTAAATTAATATCAGTTAGTTACAAAGGATATGCCCTTGCAGTTTATTCACATAAATAAACTTTCTTCTGGATATTATATAAATTAATTGCATTTCTTTTGAATATAGCAGCAATTGGCATCAAACAAATTCTAACTAGCTTTGTAAAATACTCTTTTATTGTATACAAAGTGATCAGCATTTTAATTAAAATCTCAGAAGCAGAACGGGATTAAAAGGAAGGATTTAGGAAGAGAGACTCTTGTAGACAGAAATCAACCACAGTGCACCAGTTAGCCACCTGTTATTATACCAACGTCATGTACCATATAGTGCCACCTATCAGATAAACATTGATGTACCATATATCTACCTTATATCACACCAACATGAGTGTACAAGAATAGTGTCACCTGCTATCATACCAACATTAGTTTTCCAGGTAGTGCCACCATCTATTATCCAACTCAGCCCAAGGAACTACAATATTTCCAAGAGCTGTCTCATTTTTTTTCTTTTTCTTTCTTTCTTTCTTTCTTTCTTTCTTTCTTTCTTTCTTTCTTCCTTCCTTCCTTCTTTCTTTCTTTTACATATCATTCCCCCTGTTCCCTTTCCCTCCCATCCTCCTATGCTCCCTACCAACCACCCCCAATCCAATCCCCATGGGTTCCCCAAGGACGGTAAGGCCTCCCATGGGAGAATCACCAAAATCTACCACATCATTTGCAGGAGGGTCTAGGCCCTTCTCCATGTATCTGGGCTGAAATAGTATCCCTCCATATGGAATGCACTTCTGAAGTCCATTTGTACATTAGAGATAAATGCTGGTTCTACTGCTAGAGGTCCCATAGACTGCACAGGCCTCCTAACTGGCACCCATATTCAGAGAGTTTGGTTCACTCCAATGCTGGTTCCCCAGCTTTACAACAGAGTTCCCTGAGCTCTTATTAGGTTAGGTTAGCTGGTTCTGTAGGTTTCTTCAGCACAGTCTATATTCTTTTGCTCATCTCTTCTCCCTTTCTGCAACTGGATTTCAGGAATTTTGGCTAAGTATTTAGCTGTAGGGGCCTGCTTCTGATTTAATCAATTACTGGATGAAGGCTCTATAATAGCAATTAAGGTAGTCATCAATCTCCATATAGGAGAAGGGTATCAAAGGCAGTATCTCCACTACTGCCTAGATTCTTAGTTGGAGTCATGCTTGTTATCTCTGAACAATTTCCTAGTGCCAGATTACTCTTTAAACTTATATTGGCTTCCTCTATTAAGATATCTCTTTTCTTCATCTTCTCTATTCCTTCCCTGTCTCAGTCTTCCTCATTCCCCTTGTTCTTCATTTATCACCTCCTCTTCCCCCTTTCTCTTTTTTTTTTACCTCTCTCCCTTCACCCCCTGTGTTCCCATTTTGATCAGGAGTTCTTGTCCATTCCCCGTTCTTTGGGGACCATGCATTTTTCTCTTAGAGTCCTTGTTTCCTAGTTTCTCTGGTGGCGTGGATTGTAGGCTGGTAGTCCTTTGCTCTATGTCTAATATCCATATATGAGTGAGTGCTTAACATGTTTGTCTTTTTGTGACTGGGTTACCTTACTCAGGAAAGTTTCTTCCAGTTCAATCCATTTGCCTACAAATTTTAAGGTTTCATTTTTTTTTCTGCTTAGTAATAATCCATTGTGTATATATACCACATTTTCTCCATCCATTCTTCAGTTGAGAGACATTTATGTTGCTTCCAGTTTCTGGTGATTACAAATAATACTGCTATAAACATAGTTGAGCAGCTGTCCTTGTTGTATGAATGTGCATCCTTTGGGTATGTGTCCAAGAGTGTAATTGCTGGATCATGAAGTAGATTCCCAATTTCCTGAGAAACCACCATACTGAATTCCAAGGTGACCCTAATTTTTACTAAAAATTATTATAAAAAATATCATTCTTTTAAAACAATCACTTAATAAATAAGCACTTTCTTGATAAATTTTATATTTAGCAGTAAAAGTTAATATATCCAATTATTTGAAACATATTCATGACATAAAAATACCTGCATTGTAATGGTAGCTATCTAGGAACTACTATTACATTTATAGTCTGCTTAAATAGTAATATAAAAATATTACTGTTATTATTGCTACATTCAATATAAATATATGTGATATAAATTTAGATTGTTTCATTTCAATGAACTACATTTGTTACAAGATTAGCAGTATTTGTCTGAGTAATTGGTGCTATTTAGTTATCTTTTCTTGGGAAAATAGGGAAAATGCCTATTTACACAACATCAAGCACCAAAGACTGACCACAGTAACAACTTGCCAAAATCCTACTTATGACCCATTGAGTTTATATGCATGGTTGAGGATTTACTTGTAGTATGATAAGTGAGTGTTAAACAGTTGCTTCACCACATCATCCCATACAACTAAGGCTGATGATTCATTGAAGCTGCTTTGTGCAGTCAAGTTTCACTTTGTACTCACATTAGCTTGCAGACACTCTATTTTCTTTCTCTCTTTAAAATCAGCCCTTGTCCTATCCCTGATAGTCTGCCGAATAGCCCACAGAACTCTTCTGTGAAGGTTAGAACACACTGGGCAAAGCAAACCCAGCCCTCTACTTCATGCAAGACAATTTCGTCATCCATGCCCCTTGACGTGTATTTTGTCTGATTAGACCAGACTAAATCACCTAGCATACACCATCTGACACTCCATGAAGCCTACAAAAGTAAAGAATTTTCTCAGTTTCTGGGAAATGAAGAATGTGTTCTTTCATAACTTCTGTCATAATAGTGGCTCTTATAATGCAGCCCCTCTCCATGTTTGAGATAAGTATTCTCTCTATGTCTCCCTGTCACTATCTCTGTATTTTTTCTCTCTCCTCTCTTCTCTCTGTCTCTGACTGTTTCTCTGTCTCTCTCTGTCCATTACCATTCTGACTCTTGTTTGCTGTTTTATCAAAACTATGTGCTCCTCACACCCTCTCATCTCAAGTCCCAATTATGGTAACCTTTCTCACCTGATTATGAGGCCTACTACCCTAAAAGGATCATTCTGCAGGGTAATTTTCATATCAGCTCCTTTACCACTTTTGACACTCTGATCTGTACATTTTATATAGTATAAAACCTAGCATCTCCAGAGATCCCTTGCATGTAGAAGAGGAGGGTAGAGTAATGCCTGGAATCCTCATACCCTCCATCCTACTGTCAATAGCTAAGCTATAATTTCTCTGTACTATTCTGCTCAGTTTATACTGAGTAGGTTAGTCTATAGTCAAACATGGTGCTTGAATTATCATGCTATACTCAGAGAAAGAAACATCACATTATAAAAACCAGCAAAGGTTTAACATTCTGCTGCAATGTAATCAGAAATATTTTAAGCCTCAATGGAAACAAGCTAGATGGATTAACTTATTGGCAACCAATTACCAACCATGGTATTTGGGCATGGTGTGATGACTATTATTCAGTTTGGCCACAGTATGATGATTTGGAGGCCTGTGATTGATGGAACTCTCGCTCTTCTACTTGTTTGCAGCTCAAATATGTGTTAAAGCACAGTACCCCAAAATTTTGGTTTTGTCTTTCTATGTCCCAGTTGAGGTTACTGTTTGTTACTATTCCATTGCTATTGGTATGCTTTTGTGTAATTTTAATTTAGCTGATTTAAATTTGACATGGAATCAATGGATGAAGATGAAAATTAAAACATTATATGAGCTTCATTTATAATATCAAACTCATTTAAACTTTTCTTAACTGGATCTATGCTAAGAAATAAAGTTCCATAAGTGTAAAATTCATTACTGTTAGTCAAGGTAAAGTTTGAACTCTGCTCACAAATTAATTATTGTAGTTATTATGATGGGATCAAGTAAATTTATTCAGATTCTAAAGAATAACTCCAAACTTGCAGTCATATAGACAAATCTATATAACCTCAGTGGATCACAAAATACAAATAACAGACATGAATATGAGAAAGATATATATATATATATATATATGTAAGTTGGCTGGGCAATAAGAGGAGGTAAAGTGGGAATGGTTAAAGTGGTCAATATATATTGTATACATCTTCACAAATGTCTAAAATTATACTTAATAATAATGATGAGTCTTCAAATGTCAATGAACCATGAAAAGTGAGGACAGAATTAGAGGATAGGAACCAGAATAGAATCTGAAAATATATGAAAGGGTGCCTCCTTGGATTTTGTTGCCAGTTCCTTCGTTGTGTAGTGGTACACTGAATTCTATGATTCTATGATAGTCTTTGAACATATTGTTCAACTGAGAATTTGAAATGAACTAGCTATTTCAACAAGAGAACTGAACTATTTACTTTTTGTGTTTCCAGGATTTCTAATTCAGGATAGCACTTTCGGATCTTGTGCAAATAAATACTGTGGCTTGGGGAGGCACTGTGTCATCAGCAGAGAGACAAGGCATGCAGAGTGTGCCTGCATGGATGTATGCAAACAGCACTACAAACCTGTGTGTGGATCTGATGGGGAATTCTATGAAAACCACTGTGAAGTGCACAGAGCTGCCTGTCTGAAAAAGCAAAAGATCACCATCGTTCACAATGAAGACTGCTTTTTTAAAGGTAAGTGCAGGGTGAGGCCCACAGTGTTATTGTCCTTTATCTTTTCTATTCTCTCTTAGTGCCATTAAGATTGAAACAACATGATTTTAACTCTGTAAGTGTCTAAAAATGAAAAAGGAAAGACTAAGCTTAACAAAACCAAGAAGCAGCAGTGTATGGAAATTTGCTTGAATAGAATTCTGATACTCATTTATGAGAATAAAGCCGCAAACTCTAACTCACAATTTAATATATCATTCAGCATTACACCATATAGCTTCCCAATCATGGAGTTATTATAGGGACAGATGGTAGACAGTTTTGTCTTTAGGCAAAATCTCCCCAGTGCCAATCACCAAAAATATTGTTAAAGGCATGGGGAATGCCAAGCTGCACTGTGGCAGTTTTTCATTTTGTCTTAATCTACAGAATAGTTTCAGTTTGCCACACACAACTCAAATTATATAGGACCTCTAATTATCCACTTCAATAACAGTATAGTCATAAGGAACCCAATTAACAAATTTGAGGCAACAATGGCTTAACATTTTAAAATATTATTTGCTCTCATACAATTTAAATGATGGTTTAGTGGATAGTACTTCTGAATTAGTAATTAGATATTCTATTTTACCATGTTCTATAGGTGAATCATCAGAAGGTTTAGCATTATTTATTTATTTTTTCTGCTGTTTATTTCTTGGTTATTTAAGTTAGATGAAATATTTTCTTTTAAATGCTATGACTTATTTAAGTTCTAGAATCAAGCATATAAACATTCATCCTTCTAACAAGTCAATGATCAAGTTAATTCTTGAAGTCTGGTGAAATTTTGCATCATAGTTAATCAGAATACTACACAACAGTGCTCACACTATAGAAATTAAAAGTCATTTAATTCTTGAATTTTGGCTAAACTATATTGCTACACTTATATGCCAATTTATTAAAAATAATGATTTAAACATTTTAATTTTCTGTAAATTGTATTTCTAAGAGATAAAAATGATAACAGGACACTTTTAAGATAAATAAGTTGCAGCATGCTGTGGTCATTGTGTCTTCTAGAAGCGACATGTTACTGATATGAAATGGCAAGTATAGTGTAGTTATGCAATGCAACCCATGTACATCTCACAAAGATGTTTGCCACAGTAGATTCACCTCCTTTACTAAATGGGAGATGTTATGAATTAAAATTCATCTCTTTGTCCTTTCAATTCCATTGATGTTGTCAATATTTAATGGTTTATGTTAGACTTTTATAGAGAAGAATATTATTCTGTCATTTTAACCTAAGATGTTAGGATAAAAATTATACCACCATATTCGTATTATAAACTTAAGTAATAGTGTATGATATATAACTGAATAAGAACATTAAGTTATAGTCTTACTATTTTTCAACAAGAACCTGTGTGTGCATGTGCACGTGTGTGTGTGTTTGTGTGTGTGTGTGCACATTGACATATGCACATGTGCATGCCTATAATGTCAATGAAAGCCAGAGATTTCAGATCCCTGGGAGCTGTGTGATTATGAGTTAGTTACTCAATGTGGGTACTGGAAAGTAAAGCAGGACTTCTAGAAGAGTGGCGTGTACTCTGAACTATACAATTCTATTTTAAAGTGAAATTCTATTTACCTAATATGTACAATTAAACAAATGGAAATATGTAATATTAAATATATTAGAAGATAAAACAGTGTACTTACTGTTCTGCCTGACAACTGAGCAGTCATTTACAATGCCACCAAATAATTAAATAAGCCTGAGATGTATGAATAAAATAACTTGGGTCTCTTTAGAATTTACCAAGCAATGGTTGTGTTAGAAACTTCTGTCTTTAGACTCATCCCAAATATTAATCAAATTTATATATACTTTCATTTCCATTATAGAACATTAAAATCCCATTTATTTTATCTAGAGTTAACATATTTAACATATTTCCAGCTCCCAGAAGGTAATGATTTTATGTTTGTTTGTTTTAGTATTATGTCTTAGGAACAGTTAGTTACTAAAAAAACTTATATTTGAGCAGAGAAAGGGAAAAAATAACAAAACAAATTATTTCTCCTGTTAGTGGTTTAGTGTGTACACTTTGATATGTGAATTAAGATTAAACTCTCAGAAGCTACCCATATTGTGATGTTTTGCAGTAGATCCTCTGATTATGAACTATTTTTTCCCCAGGAATTTTAATCATTTACCTTGTTTTTTACAATGTCACATTGGAAGAAACAATTAATAATATGAAGTTCACGGCTGAAATACCTTGTAATTAATTAGATGGTTCAAATGCAAAGTCAAGCCAAGTCAAAACAAATCAAACATACAATACATTTTGTGTTGTAAAACTAAAAATGACAACTTTTTAAACCTTGAATGAGAAATTAACAGTGGTTTATTATTGGCCAATCAGGTTATTTGTTCAGTGAACATTTTTGTTTAAGAATTGCATACATTGATATATTGTGTTTGGGTGAAAGTTAAACTCCATATCTTCCTCTCAGATGCCTTTATTTTTCCAAAAGATTTACAGTACATAGCCACATACACTTCTCCAAGTATCATTCTACAAGTAGAGGCTTAAATGCAGGAAATATGATGGCTGGTATGGCACAGAGACTAAGATATTCTTTGACCATTGTTTTAAAATATTGTCTTTACTTTAAAAATCTACATTTCAAGTTTTATTACATCTTCACTGTATCATTTTGATGATTGTGGTAAGTAAGGGGACTGCCATGTGTCATAAAGTTGAATAGAGTAAAATACATACACAGTGGGAATAAATGCATAAATCTGAATCATGTGTGGGAATTGGTTGAGAGTCAGAATCTTTTTTATGATGTTTTCCCATTATTAGAACGACACTGCTTTTGAAAGAAGCTGTATATAGGGTACATGGACCTGCATATTACTTATACTAATTTATGTTAATCAACAATTACAAAGTATTAATTCATAATTGAGAAATACTAGAAAATGGTCACTATGTAAAGAAGGCAGCAGTTATACTAATAATTACCTGTTTGACTTTAAGTTATTTCTATAGTAACTTTCTATAATAAGATATATCTATATCTTATTAAATATTTTACACGGTTTTACCTATCTCTAAATTTATTTGCTATTAAATATTAAAATATCTCTGAATATATCATGGTGTTTACTAAAAAAGAAATGTATAAATAATTTTACCAAAAAAATTCTTTAGTGATATATGACTTGTGCAGTTTAGGTACACTATATCATGAACACATTTATTTTCTATATTGGCTCCATCTACCTTCATTACAACATGAAACAATGGCTCTAGTTGGATATAAGCTGTAGCATCTGTTTATCAGCATCAACTGTTTTGAAGTAATGTTCAGAATAACTTAAAATGTTATATATTTTACACAGTTTCTAGTACTTGTTTGTACTGAGACTCTTTTTGGAAGTCATTTATCCTACTACACTGACTCTACAAGTATCATTTTGTGGTATTGGGTCTTGTCACACAAAGTGGAATTTACTTATTTAGTATGAAGAGGTTACCTGGAGTATGGAAACCCAGAAATAAACTATGCCAAAACAAATAGGGAATTAAACCTCTTGTGAGAAAGTCAAAGGAACAGAAACCCTTTTGCCATTTGCTGTGCTGGGAATAAAATTGCAATAAATGTACATCACATAAAACTGTGCCTTAAATGTATATCACAAACAGTAAGATCTTGGTGATCTAGTTGTTATGTTTATGTGTGCAATATTGGAATGAAATCTCCCATTGTTTTAATTTTCCTTGCATAATCTGAACAGACATTTTCACATTTCACATTTCACATAAAAACACACTTATGTGTTTTTAACACAACTTTTAAATAAAAGAATTAAAGAAGCTACAGTTGAAAATGCCTGAAGGTGATATTATTAAACACATCAGTGAATATCATGGGCTACTTTGCACATTTAGGATGCCTTTTTTTTTTTTTTTTTTTTACAATGTGCAACATCAAAAAGCTTTTATTTTATTTTATGTTTAAAAAAATTTTTTATGCCATTTCAGGAATAGTAAACTTGGAGGACTAATACACAAATGTTTATTTGTTTGCTTGCTTGGTGAGTATTAGTCAACAAAAATGCAGGTTGATGGCGAACTTAATAACATGGGCACTAATAAAGTTGGTAAACTAACTCAAGTGGATAAACAGAAGTGGTTATTTCTCTGAATTCTTTCAGTACTCATCAAAAATAATTGAATTTCCTAACTTTTGATGAATTTATGTCAAAAAATTCTAAAATTTCTGATATAAAATAGTTGCCTTACTTCATTTTTTACATTAGCTTGACACAATGTTTCCCCTAATAATTTTAAAGAAATCTGTAATGTACTTGCTGGAGTATACATGCTTATATATTTGCCTGTCCTTTATAAATAGATATTAAATTTACTATGTAGAGATGTTTAACATGAAAGTAAAATGAGATTGAGACTGAAATAATATTAAGACTAAATAATCAAATAGTGGGAATTTTATAAGGACTACTCAACAAATGTGTTACATATGTTATAATGCGTGGAAGAACAAATCATTTGCTAACTATGTGAAATAACAAAGAACCAACAGCCAGATAAGAAAGACAGAAAAGAAGGAAATAATTAAGATACGTGTGTGTGTATGTGTGTGTGTGTGTGTAAGGAAGGAAATGAAGAAATCAAGAGAGAAAGAGAGAAGACAGGAAAGCAGGAAGGCAGACAGGAAAGGAAGAAAAGAAGGAAAGTAAAGAAGAAAATGAGAAAGCAAATTTTCAAATAGTGAGAACTTGAGAAGACAGCATAGGAAGACAAGGAGTACACCAGTGATAGTCAATCATTTAAAGAAACTTACAGCAAAGTCATGGTTCAAATTCATTATAGTGAATCTATATATTGACAGGAAATCAACAAGCTTGGGGAAATGTAAATGACCTGACAGATTTGACCTGGAAGGGAAACTTGACCTCAATTAGGAACAAATGTATTCTGTGT